TCCAAGAAGCCCCTCCTTGTTTGTAAGTACGAGGTCCAGCAGAGCACCTCTCTCTCTTCATTGGCTCCTCTATCACCTTTATCAGGAAGTTGTCATTGATGCTCTCCAGGAACCTCCTGGATTGCTTGTGCCTTGCTGTGTTATTCCTCCAGCAGATATCAGGGTGGCTAAAGTCCCTCATGAGAACGAGGGCCTGTCATCATAAGGCTACTTCCAGTTGCCTGTAGAAAGCCTCATCTACTTCTTCCTGATCAGGCTGGCCTGTAGCAAACATCCATAGTCTCACCCATGTTGGTCTGCCCTGTCATCCTTACCCATAAGTTCTCAGGCAGCCAAATGGTCAACCCCTAGGCAGAGCTCTCCTTCCAGCTGCTCTCTCACATAAAGGGCAAGTCGCCCTCCTTGTCTTCCTGGCCTGTCCTTCCTAAAGACTCTACATCCGTCCATTGCAGTCTTCCAGTCATGCAGCTATCCCACCACATCTCCATAATCACGATGAGATCATACCCCTGCAACTGCACACAGAGCTCTAATTCCTCCTGTTTATTCCCAATGCTGCATGCATTTGTGCATAGGCACTTCAGAGAGGCATTCGAATGTGCTGATTTCCCAGAAGGGCTGCTAGAGGTTTCCCCATAGTCTTGCCTTGTAGGCACTTCCTTACCTGCAGGCAAATGCTTGAGTTCTCCCCTACTTAAGCCTGGTTTTGTTGATTGTGTGGTCTCTATAAGCCTTCCCTTCCCCCATCTTTCCTTGTTTCCTGCCACTGAAGAGGAGATACCTTTGCAAGCCTCTCCCCCAAGACCCTCGCAGGGTTAAAAGCTGCTTCTCTGGTCCTGAGCCTAGAAAAAAACAGGCTCTTCTTCAAGCAGGTGAGACAAACTGGACAGTACCTGGAGGCACTGCTGGTCTTTCCACCTTACCGAGCACAGGATATCTGGCACAGGTTGCTGCCTGCGGGCTCTAGGACATGGAGGTAAGTGAGGGCAGGGAGGGCAAGACTGCCACCCATGGTGGGGCAGAGCCTCCTCATGGCAAGATCCTTGCAGGGATCCCTATCGGCGTGCTACCTGGGGCAATATCTGTAGAGGCACCCAGGGCTGCTGGCTGATCCAGGCAGGCAAGCAGGTTGCAGCTTGGTGATGCCCCAAGCAAAAAAGTCTCTTGCAGAGGAAATTCATCTTGCATTATTGCCAGCTTCCCTAGCTCAGCCATCACCTCACGGTGGGTCTGGACCAGACCAAGGCTCAGGGTCTTACCTCCCGTGGCTACATGCTCCAGGCTATCTGCTCTGCTCTGGTCACCTGAGAAGTGGTATTTTAGAGATGAGCGCCACATCCTCCTGCAGAAGCAGCTGGCTTCCTTGGATGGGTGCAGAGCAGGTGTGACTTCCTGTAAGAGGAAGGGCAACTCAACTTGACTCAGTAGCCTGCTTCAGAGACAGCACTGGAGGGCAGCTGGGTCTCAGACCAATGCATCACCATCACATCAGTCAGGAGCACCTTTCTCCTCCCAACAGGAGCCACAGGAACCCTCTACCTCCCCAGCACCAACAGTATCAGCCAGCCAGCACCTCTGCTCCCCCATCCCGCCCCTTTTGGCTGGTCAATGGTGGGCGAAGGTGCGGCTGCACAGGGGAACACTTGACAAGCCGTTAGTTACCATGAGAAATCACCTTCAGTCCATGTAAGAGAGCGAAAGAAGCCGAGGCAAGGTGGAGACTGTTTCAGGGATCATCCACATGCAGTGGGAAGGAGGAAGAGAGGTTTTGCTGCCACATCACCATGTCTCATTGTGTGCAGGATGTCTGAGGCAAAGGGTTTAAATCTGGCATTTCTCATCATGTGGCTGTGCCACTGACTGCTGCATTGCCCCAGACTATGGCTAAAAAAATAAGGTCATTCCTCTGCATGCCCGTTATGGCTGCACTGTAGCCCTGTGCCTCTGCACCCAATCCAGCCTGAGTTCATCATCTGCGGTTCTCCAGACCTCACCAGCCCTCCTGCAGTGGAATTATCAATTTTCTGCTGCTGCAAATACCATGACTTTCTTGTCATCTTTATACACCTACTTCAAACCAAGGGTTTAGTAGCATGTGATGGGCTATTTCGATCACTTTTTCCTCACCTGCTATTATCTCCAAATGCTAAGCCCAATTTCAGAGCATAAACATGTGACTAGCCCTTACGCACCTAACCTCCTACTATTAAATTTCTTCTTACTTTTATCACTCTCTTTCTTGAGGTTACCCAGTCCCTCCTGTGTAAAAGGCAGGTCCCTGCCTGTGCTGGTGCTGATTCTACCATAATTCGTTAGCAAACTCCTGCCTCTTGTCCCACTCCAGCTGCCTGTCCCAGCCTCTCTCAGGCCAAACCAATACAGCTCCAAACAAGCTGGGCTGTTCTTGAACCAAGATACATATTGCTTTGTGGCTGGAGGAAGAGAGGGCGTCTCAAATTCCCCCCAAAAATTGGATGATATAATCCTTAGGCAACTGTCAAATATGGGAAAAATAAATAAAAACCCCTTGTTAAGGGATATGTTGATCTGGGAGGCTGCTGGAGAGCTTAGCCAGGCAGTGGTCTCTAAACCTGGTAGCAGCCACATCCAAGATGAAGTAACAAGTTTGGATGTCATTGTGCTAGACAAAGATGAATGAATATTTTGACTAAGTTCAATATTAAAATATTAATCAGTTCAATATTTAAAAAAAAGTTGAAAATTTGGAGAGGAAAAGAGAAACGAATCAGAACTAATAGTGATATGCTTCACAGTGAAAGGATTAAAGTTTTAATCTACTTAGCACATTGAAACAAAGACTGAGACTGATCACAGTGTGCGAGCACTTCGTCAGGGAGAAAGTACTATTAGAATAGGGGCTCCTTAACCTGAAAGAGAGTGACTTAATGAGGATGAATGAGACAGAGTTGACATTCAAGCAATTCCAACAGGAAATAAGGCACACTGTTTTAAATAGTGCTTTTACTTTGATAAATAGCCATAAGAAAAAACTCCCAACAGAAGGAGTGAATTCTCCATTGCACAATGCTTTAAATATGTGGAAACATGTGTTGGATACAGAAATTAAAAGTAGATTAATGGGTGCAAAGCAAGGGTACTAACCTGAAATTTAATCATGTTGTTTAATCTAGTGAAGAAACTGCTGAGACACGGCAATTGGCCTCAGCTTTTTTGACTTATTCACTTTAGCCTTAAATAAAGGTAATGGACCCCCCCCCACATAGACATCAGCAAACAGCTCTAACATAAGGAGAGTGAAATGTATTAATAACTTGCCTGAGTACATTGTTGAAGCCTGATCACTAGGGGTTTGTAAGGAAAGGCTGGACAGCTACCTGTGAGGAAATGTTGCTCGCAGCTGCCCTGTACCAAGGAAGGCAAGCAGACGCAATGCCCTCCTGTTTTCAAGTGTATGGTTCCAGGTCAGACTAGCAGGGAACTACTTTCGTGAGTTCAGTGGTATGAAACCCTTCCTTGCACCCAAGTTGCACCTCAGCGCCATGAGAAAACCAGGTCAGAGCCCAGCAGTGGCCCCATTGCAGCTCCTTGCAAACACCCTGCTCAGTGATGGCACCTTTTTCACGTTAGCCAGTTACCTTGTTCTTTGATGTGAATGTCAGAGAGATTTTTTTTTTTTTTTTTTTAAAGTACTAACATCTACTGAGGCAGTTGAGTGGAGCCAAAGGAAAAACTCTATAAAGCTAGGGAGAACTGGATTTCTTCATGCACAGCTCCAAGATCACTTGTGGTTCCTCAAGGTGCTCTGTGCTGTCATGCAGCCACAATGTGCATTGGTGCTTTCTAGCGCTGTTTGTCTCCAATATATTTGTGTCCATGGGCTTAAGACTCTCTGGATCCTTTTCTTCAAGGACCCATCTACCCGAACAGGTTGCAGGGCAAGAGCCTGGTTTCGGACAGGCCAAGCATGGGGTTGCTCCTGGGCTGGGCACTGGCTGGAGCAGGTCTGCACCCCAGGACAAGGCAACTGCAGGCAGTTTTAACCTCTCTCATAGTCCTGTTTCTTCAGCAGCCTCGCAGAGGGCTGCCACACCAGGCTGGACTAGCACACAGAGAAACCAAATCAGTTGACCAACAGAGCTGCAGCGGATGTCCGCAGGGTTGCATGGAACTGGCATGGTGGGTAAGAGCAGCCCTAGCTGCAAGAACACAGCAAGCCCCACCTCTGCCAGCCCTCGGCTGAGGTTTATGGGGGAATAACCGCTTCCCGCATGGCCCTTTCATCCTGGGGAATAGTCAGCATGGCTTTGCATGCCAGTCAGCAAAACCATTGAGCTAGGAAAGCAATAGAGTGATGGAAAGCAGGCTAGGAGGACCAGGCCAGCAGAAATCTCTGCCAGCTTAACCTACCTGTGGCTCTATGACCGCAATGGGGTGAGCCACCCTCAGCTGAAACACATGGTTTCTTAGGGGCTGGTTATCTCAGAGCAAAGCACCCGAAATAACAAGAGAGGGCAATAGGGAGGTTAAAAAAAAGAAAGATCTCGTGTAACTGATGCAGGAGATGCCACATCCCCATCCAGGTGGCCAGGGACTAGCAGGCTGAGGGTCTGTGGCATCTGGGGAATGATGCCACTGTGACTGAGGGGCAGTGAAGCGGGTAGCCACCATAAGCACAGCTAACAGGAGGAGAAGAGCGAGCCATACTGGGTACTCATCAGGCTAGACGGGTGGACTGACTAGAGAAAACACCTTCAAGGCCAGGAGGTGTGCATAAGTCTAGGTGCATGCCGGTCTTTGTTTCTGCTGTGTGATTCTCTTGCAGTCAGGTCTCCAATGCTGAATGGCAGCTATCCCAGTGTCTGTGAGACCCCACGAAGGGGGGCTTTCAACCACTATGGAGATGGGACCCAAGCCATCCTGTCGCTGAAACCCTGGCAGTTATTCCCTAGTCCGCTGGCTCACATTCACCACCTCCTTGCAGTACTCGTTTCTCACTGCAGACAAACCCAACAGGCTCCATGGCAGAGGGGAACCAGACTCAGGTGATAGAGTTCATGCTCCTAGGCTTTTCCTGGGGAAAGCCCTTCCTCTTCCTTGTCTTCCTGGCCATTTACCTGGCCACGCTGCTGGGGAACTCTGCAATACTTGCCCTCAGCTCCCTGAATCCCCGTCTCCACAGCCCCATGTACTTCTTCCTCAACCACCTGTCCTGCTTGGACATTTGCTATTCATCAGTGACAATGCCCAAGATCCTGGTGAATGTCCTGCGTCCGCAGGCAACCATCTCCTACCACGGGTGCCTGGCACAGATGTTCTTCCTGATGGGGTGTGCGGGGGCTGAGTGTGCGCTCCTGGCTGTCATGGCCTATGACCGCTATGCTGCCATCTGCCACCCTCTGCACTATGCCCATGTCATGAGATGGGGTGTCCGCATGGTGGCGGCCACGGGCTGCTGGCTCTGGGGGCTGCTGGACTCTGCTGTGCACACCTTCCTGGCCTCCAAGCTGTCCTTCTGTGGGGCTACCCAGCTCCAGCACATCTTCTGCGATGTCCCTCCCCTGCTGAGGATTGCATGCAGCAACACTCACCCCAGCGAAGTGGCGCTCCATGCTGCCAGCATCTTTGTGGGCCTCAGCCCTTTCCTGTTTGTTGTCATCTCCTACCTCCGCATCCTGGCCACTGTCCTTAGGATGCCGATGGCTGTCAGCCGGCGCAAGGCCTTGTCCACATGCACCGCACACCTACTTGTGGTTGCCCTGTATTTCGGAATGGCCAACCTGAACTACAACCGCCCCAGCTCTGGCTACTCACCGGAGGCAAACACACTGGTCTCTGTGCTGTACTGCATCATAACCCCCATGTTGAACCCCCTTATCTACAGCCTCCGCAACCAGGAAGTGCGGGGCACCCTGAGGAAGGTGCTGCAAGGACAGTACACAGGGCTTCCTGGGCGGTGACGATTAAGCAACATGAGGGCTGGGACAAGGTGTTGGCTCCAGTGGTGTGGAAACAGCGTAACATCACACGGCTGTCATAAATCTGGGAAAGAAGAAAAGGATTCAGAGCCCTCTGTTCAGGGAGCGAATGCTAACACTTATCCAGCCTGCGCCACAGCACTGGTGGCAAAATCAAGCTGAGAATAAGCTTACAGTCCTAGGATTATGTCTTTATTTTGTGCATATCACATGCTGAGCTCAGCACAGGTCTTGCTGCTGCCACACCACTACCAGGGGCTGAGTAGCTGAACCCCTAGAGTTGCTACAGCGTGGAGAGACGGAGGGAACTCCTTGCCAGAGAAAGACAACAGCTGGCAGCAGCACCATCTGCCTTGGCCTCTGCCCCCTTTCCAGAATGGGTATTCAGACACATTTTGAACACTTTCAATATTTAAAAAGTTCACCATCTCTGTAACTTGCACACTGATGTTTGTGGTATGTCTGGAAGAGCTATTTGGACATGGAGCGCTACAACATGACATCAGGCATACTGCAAAAAGAAATTTCACATGGCAGCAGATATGTTTTAACCTCAAGCAAGACTATGAGCTCTGCTTTGATGCTGCCTATAGCACTGAGCTAGGCCCTGCATGGGGTAAGAGGCAATGGCTCAGAGTGCAAAAATCCGGCTTTAGCACAGGTGCTGTTGGTCCAGGCTCTTTCCACAGAGCCTTTGGTACTGATTCTGCTAGGCTTCTCCAGACTGCCACAAAAGCTCTGTAGTATTTTGTACATTAGCATGACAGCTGGCAATGTAAGCAGACCACCCACCATGTTATTCTCAGCACTTCAGTCAAACAGCAAGTTATAAGCATAATGCCAGCTGTGAGCTGGCATTGCTTAGCTTCTCATCAGAAATGCTTGCTTTGCTATATAGCTACATAAATTGGAAATGCAGTCGCTCTGAGCAGTGTGGCTGTGGATGCTAGCGGCACAGAGGGCTGGCTGGTCATGTGGAGCAGCTACCCCTCTACCAATGCCACTATCTTGGCTCAACCTCTTCCTTTGGGGGGGGCGGGAGGGGGAAGCCACATGCAAGGGCTTTGCAACAGGGTCGCTGTTCAAATTTCTGCATGGGTGGTGTGGCAATACCACGGCCGGCTGAGCCTGCAGGCAGTAGGCACACAAAGGCCAACAGACAACATCATGATGGAAGCCAGGTTCGTGCCAGCCATCAGCACAAGGGTCCACATGGGGAGGAAAGCTGGCACAGGCCATGCATACATTTCTGCAGTAGAAACCATGGCTAGGCTGCAGAGGGGCAGGCTGGCCGGAAGGGGCCCACACGTGCTCAAACACAGCTCACTTCCCAAGGGGTACCCAGTGAAAGCCAGCCTGTTCCCAAAGAGACCTCGAGCAGAGGCGAACGATGGGGCTATGAGGTGTACTGCTTGTTGGGAGTAGCTTACCAGCTCGCCTTAATGCACAGCACAGAGCAATTTTATTCCTCAGGAGGAGGGGGGGGAAAAAAACCAAAACATTTCTGTAATCCCTGTGTTGGGCTGGCCTGTTACATCTACTCAAACAGGTTGTAGACCCCTCACCCAGCTCTACTTTTCACATACCCTTTTTTGATTGTAAAAATTGATGGAAATGCCTTTTCTTCAGAATCTCATTAGGACACAAAGCAGAGGCCCTCCTCCCCCTCCCCCCCCACTCCAATAAGGCCCATTCTGGAGAGCCTCCAGGGGATGAAAGCCAGAAAATAAAGGGTGAACTGCATGAGAAGATACTGGGAAAGTTATTGCAAGAAAAAAATCCTCCAGAAAATTCATGTTAAAAATGGTAAGTTCTTACTTGAACCAGAATGCAGCTTTACCATGATCTTACAGCCATAGAACATGGAGAGATTTTTCTCGGTCTCCAACACTGAGAACTGATGGCGTGCTATCCTCCAGGAGCGCATGTGAGCTTTGCTTTGCCAGGTGCACGATGGTCCAGAACAACCCTGTCACAGCACTGACCAGTGAAAGGAAAAGGCACTAGAGCGGGGCCCTCTGCAGCCCTGCCATTGGCAACTGGCATTGTGCTGGGATGTGCTCCTGCAGCGTCTCACATGCTGCGCTGCTACTCATTATTGCTAACTCAGCATGTAATTCGTTTATTCCTCTTGTGATGGTATCGTTATCCCTGAATAAAAACAACTAACTCCTGCAGTGGGAGGTCGGGCATGTGGCCTGGGATCTACTGGTTTAGGGGAGTGCTTCAGTTTGCATGGGATTTCCACTGAAGGCTTTAAACATTAGAAGTAAAAAGGCGCATGCATCACATACTGAGTGGAGGAGCCTGCCTTTAGCGCTGCCTGGAGGGCATACTGGAGCCCTTTGGCTAAAGACAAGCTTTGGGACTGCTCTTCCTGCCCCATCTGCCCATGTATGCTTATTTGTACTATTTGTCAGAGCAGTTAATAGCAATAATGGAGCTCTCTTGAAAATATTCTATTGCCTGTATCCAGTGGTAGTTGCTCAGGTTCATTTGCTAGATTGAAAGGATTTCACTAGCACAATATTCCTCTATGATGGGATCCCTGGACGGGACTTGGATGGCTTTTAACATACTCTTTGTTAAGTAAAGCCTTTTGACATTTTTATCTTCCAGGACCGTTTCTCTCAGAAAATAAATTTGCACCCTGCCCTCCCTTTTTTGAAGTTCACCCCAGAAATGACACTTCCCCCCCAACAATGTTCTCAGCATACAGAGGAAAACCAAACAAGTCATCTGCTACCGTAGCAAGATCGTCCTTTATTTTCAGGGAGCCAGTACACACCTCTCCTTTTTACGGGACAGCTCAATATAGCCAAGCTTGTGTCTGCATGCAGGAAAACTTAGCAAAGTTTACTGTGAGGGTGAAATGTTACCAGGTCCCAGCCCTGAAATCTGCCCAGATAGGCAAGGCTCATGTTTCTCTACCCCACACTACAACCATGGTTTATCCTGCATGTGGAAATCCTTCTTAGAATCAAAAGTGAGTTCAGCCTTCACATTGCTCTTTTCCCTTGGCCCCTGGGTAAGAGGACCCAGGGCCAAGGTCTGGGACAGCATCTCTTATTCTATAGCTGTAACTTCTGGACTGAGCCCCAAAAGCAAAGAGGAGTTCTCAGATGCAGGTGACAAATGACAACTTTAAAGGAAAAGGTCCCATATTCATGTCCCTTTTGCTTCGACTAGATTAGAGCTGGTGTTTCTAGTCTGTGAATTGCCCTGTTGCAAACAGGAATGAACATGCTTCCCCTGCAATTCTGCTGGTTGGCATGTGGAAATAGAAAAACTGGAATAGTCTAGAGAGGAAAAATGTCATATATCTCACCCATGAAGATACCCATGGCTCACCCATGGCTCTTCAAACCATCCCATCTTCCCCATCTGGGACTGGATGGGAACCAGAACCCATCTGGGGCACAAGCCAAAACGTTCCCTCAAACACTGCCAGTTTGCTCATTGTACTTCTCCCATGTAGACATACCAGGTTGAGCCAAATTAAGCTAATAACATGTAAAAGGCTGAAGCAGAGAGAAGCAGAAGTTTGAAAGAAGGCCACTCAGGCAATGCTGGTCTCATTGCAGAAGCTTCACATAATTTGCTGGAAAGAGGCCTATTTTGCCCCGGCACTGTCCCCGCCACCAGCCTTCATCTACCATTTCAATATGTGTGATTGTGTCATCGGGATCAAAAGAAATCTCATCATCTCCATCTGCAAAATTGATCAGAAAAATAGTCACAATCCAAAGATACATAAGCAAGAGAAAGGACAAGAATAACCCCTGAGAGAGCTGGTTTTGCACACACACACACACACACACCCACCCACACACACCCCCGCCCTCCACAGGAGGGGAATACAGGCTGATAGGAACAGGCAGGCTGACAGGACTCAAAGTTCATCTCATCCAACCCCTCTCCCTGACACCAGCACAGATACAGCAGAGGAAGGATTAAGACTTCACAGATGAAAGATGAAACTTCTGTGTTCCCAAGCTATGTCTCATTCTGCCTTCCAAGAATAACAACCTTGGTTTAAACAACCAAGTTGAAATCCATCACTGATAGTGTCACTGTCTCTCCTGCTCCCCAGGCCAGCTCTCAGTGCCCCTCTCGGCAGGCTGACTGCCTTTCCGACACCCTGCATGACAGACTCACCTCCTTGGTAATCGTAGAGGGCCACTGCACAGGTCCCAGGACTCTCCACCTCATAAACGTTGTCCATTTTCCCTGCAGAAGACGGGACAGGCAGGTGAGAAAGAGGCCGGCAGCAATCACACATATCTAGTCCTTGCTACCCTCCTGCCAGTTGTCAGTCTCAGGGTGGACTGCATCTAAATCCTGTCAGCAGGGACATGTGTATCACGGCCCAAAGCAAGGTGTGACTTGTCTCCACTTCTTCAGGGAGGGAGGGTGGGACAGGCTGCCCTGATACTTCGTGTTCCTTCTCACAAGAAAAAGGCTGGACTTAACGCCAGCCTCCTCCTTTGTCACCCCCAGTACCAGTGAGGATGTGATGGAAACCTCAACAGCAGCCTGTGCAGTTTGTTCACAGCCTGGAGGACGCCTGCCCCAATTCCTGCACCTCTCTCATCCCAGGGGACACTGCCAGACCAGGTCTCACACCAGTGCTTTGAGCAACAGGCTGAATCAACGGGGCACGTCCAGACCCCAGCACAGGCCTGGCAGTTCCTTCTCAGGAAACATTGCACCAAGGAAAACAGCAGCAGTCCAAGTGCGGCTTCTCAGAGTGCGTGACAGCCCTCCTGTCTGACTGCCCGAGTCCCACTCCAGTAGAGATAGCTGGCATCTGGCGTCGCACCAGAGCAGGGCAAGGGGGTAGTAGAGGAACGAGACCCCATCAGCATGGCCTGCTGCCTTGACAGTGGCAGACTTCAGGATACAAAATCCCTCTGCAGCCTGTCCCATACAGCTGGTGCAGAGCACACAGATAACAAGCTCCCCAAGACACAAGCTCTTCC